GTTGAGTAGCTTTCCTGTCATTCTGAACTTTATTTGTGGCTAGTTTTCATCAAGTCTAATATTTCAGGATCAAAATTTGCAGGTTCATGTTTTGTTGGCAACATAGGATCCTTCCATCAGTTCTCCCTCAACATATTTCAAAGTTCACAGTTTTAGCTGTTGGTTTATTCTGCAGTGTGTATGTCTATCAGTAATAGTCGTCGTGAAGCTGGTAAGAGAGTTCGTTTTTATTTCTTGGATGATCCATGGGAAAAACTGTAAGCAATCTCCATCTAGGATTGTCTAAGATGAGCTTTGCTAAGTTGGGTTTTTGGTAAGTTTCTGGTCAACTTTGTGTAGTGTGTAAAATATAAACTCCTCCTAACCACAGCCCATGGGGCCTTAGGGATATGGCCTATGTCCACCTCTATAACCTCATCTCTAGCCACTCTTTTCCTTGAAGATTCCAGTAATCCTAACATTTCAGCCAGCCAGCCTTCTGGTGGAACTTACCTGTTTCTGTGCTGTGTACTCTCAGTCTTACCTATCACCTTAAGGTAAACCTCCTGAGAATTGAGAATACATTAGTTCAGGTCCCTCCAGAAGCAGACCCTGGGACAAGGATTGAAGTCAAGTAGTTTATTTGTCTTGTTCACTGAGCCTTGCACATAATAAAGGCTCTATTCAATTGAAGGATGAAGGTGTTTATCTGTTATGTTGCTGGAGCAAAGCTGGGTCTAAAATGTCAAGGTTCAATGCACCAAGAGGTTGCAGTTTGATTCCAGGTCAGGGCACGTGCTGGGGTTTCAGGCTCGATCTTGCTGGGGGCTGTGTAGGAGGCAGCCAATCGGTATTTCTCTCTCTCTCCCTCTCTAAAATTCAATTAAAAAAGTATTTTAAAATATCATGGTTCAAATATCCTTGGGGTCAAACAGTAGGGTGAAAACATTGTTTTTCTCTGACCACTCCTACCGGCCACCACACCCACCCTGGGAAATTCCTGAGGACGGAGATCCTGGTGTCTGTCAGTGCCTGGCACACTGTCAGGGCTTGGCACACAGGAGGAACTCAATTCCCACCCCTTCATCCCAATGTGGTCCTTACAAGGCCAGTTGTTTAGCAAAATGGCTACTATGAGAAAGATGGGGAATGTTGAGCAATGGTGAAGAGGTAGCACTTACAAAAGGGGGAAGTGTAGTTAGGAAAACTGGCATGCTTTACTAAGGCCATCACCTGTCTACCCCATGATAGCAATCCCATTCCCAGATATATGCCCAAGAGAAACGAGTGCATATGTCCATCAAAAGATGTTCACAGAATAATTTTTTTCTCAGTCTTTTTATTATAGTACATGGGCTGGGGCTGATGGGATGGAGTAGATGTGGGCAACCATTGCTCTGATTAGCATCAAATGCCTATCCCGATAGCCATGAATGTGCCAAAGGTGCCACCACTTGCCATCGCAGCTTTCCTGAGGCCATTAGCTTCTGACCCCACATTCTGATCCTGAGACAGAAAAAGGTGCCAAAGAGTGCCCCAGCCACCATGCCCATGGTGCAACCTATCACCAAGCCCATCTTTGTGTGGTCAAAGCAGCTTGGATGGGACTGTCCATAGGGACCCATGGCCACTGGCATCTCCCTTATGGCCTCAGTCACTCCAAGAATTATTCTTAATAGCCCCAGATAGAGAAGTGCCCATATACCCACTGACACTAGAATGGATGAAGTGTAGTCTATTCACACAAATGGAAGAGCACAGCCATGAGGATGGACAAACTACGGACCATGTAACAACGTGGATCTGTCTCACAAACATAGCGCTAAATGAAAGAAGTCAGATGCAAAAATGTCTCCCTGCACTTAAATGAAGTATTGAACTAGACAAATGAACCTGTACTGTTACAAGTTGGGAGAGTGTTTACCCTTGGGGCGGGGAGGGTGGACCTGAAGGAACTTCCTGGAGACAGAGGCGCCCTGGAAGAAGATTAAAGTGCCAGACAGGTGAGTGAAGAAGCCATCTTGGATGTCCAGCCCAGTTGAGCTTTCAAATGAATCCAGCCCCAGCCACCATCTGACCCCAAGAAGAAACACCTCACTGAGCGCAGTCAAGCATAGGACCATGAAAGACAATATTAAATTGTCATTTAAGCCACTAAGTTTTAGGATGCTTGTTACACAGCAACAGATAACCAGAACACCCAGGAAAGGCTGCAGTGGCCCTCTTAAGGTCTGACACCCCCACTCCCACAACCCCCTCACAACAAAATTAACACCAGCCAGTCATATTTTTCAGTCCCTTTAATACAGTGCTCCATAGAGAGGGCAGAGTGGCAGGCAGGGGGTAGAGAAGATCCAATCAGTCCTCATCTGGCAGCTGGATCTTGCTGGGGTCAAAACGGTTGGATTCCATGATGGGAAGACCATGGGCCTCTCGGTATTTTACAAGCTTTTCAGCTTCCCGGCGGGCCCACTCATGCATCCTGGAGGCAACAGCATGGGGGAGGGGAGACATGAGGAAGCCTCACTGGACATCAATCCCCACCTTAGCTCCCCATTCCTCAACGTACAGGACAGGACTCCTGGCAGAGTCCCCTTTGACTTCCACCCCTACCTCTGCCCCCACCCATCCCATTCTCTTGGACACCCCATGAACCTGTAGTCAGGCAGATAAGCCACAAAGGTGGTGCCAAAGACCAAGACGATGGAGAAGCCAAAGAAGAAGACGGCCCGCATGTTCCAGACATCCACAACAGGGTCCTTGTCGTAGCCATGAGAGTCGGGGTTCTGTGGAAGGAGAAGAGGTCAATGAGGGCTGCCTGCTGCTCCACAAAGCCTTATGCTGGCCTTGCATAAGCTGGTCTCCAATTTTACCTCGAACCAGTCTCCCCTCACTCCCTAAATTCCTCTCTTTCTGTCCTTAAGACTTGTCAAGCTCCTTCCCACCACAGGGCCTTTGCACTTACTGCTCCCTCTGCCTGGAAAGCTTTTCCCCCAGGCAGGCTTGGCTGGATCTGCCTCCTCATTCAAAGTTTTGGCTTCTCATCTTCTCTTAAGAGGCATTCCCTAGTCACCTTGTCTATTAAGTTGAACTATTGGAAAGTGCCATTTTCTTTGGTCAAAAATGGTTGAATATTGGCCATTTCCTATGGTTCAACCTAATAAAATTACCCCCTACCCCCAAGTCACTCTCGATCCATTTATCCTGCTTAACATTCTTTCTAGCATTTATTAGTTTACCAAAGTAACATCCCACAGATCCTGTATATAATATTATCTTATGTTACCAATTACATGTTCTATATTACATATTTATCCTCTGTGTTTCCCACTATCATATAAGCTCTATAAGAGCAAGGGCTTTATCTGATTTCTACACTGCTGGACCCCCAGGGCCCTGAACTGTGCCTGGCATCCAGTAGGCCCTCAATACATATTTACAGAATGAATGGATGAATGAATGAGCATCCTATATATCCAAGCCCCTCAACCAGAGATTAATATTGATGAAGTACCTCTTATGTGTCAAGCCTTTTCACATACACAGATTTCACAATATCCCCGTGAGTTGGAAAATAGCAATAATAAGTAACACCTTCTAAATGCTGAGTACTTACTAAGTGCCAAATGCTGTTCTGAGCATTTTGACTCATTTAATTATACGATGCAGGTTTAGTATTTTTAAAAAGGTGTCCTAATACTTTTCCCATTTTACAAAGAAACTGAGGCACTAAGGGGTGAAGTTACTTCCCAAGGTCACTTAGGTGAGTAACTGCCAGTGCCTGTATTCCAACCCAGGCATTCTGACTTCGGAGCCTCTGCTATCACACAGCACAGAACTGGGAGACCTAAGTTCAAATGTGTCCTGCCGCACATTCAGTTATGCGAACTTGGGCAAGTCACTTGGCATCTCTGTGCTTCAGTTTCCTCATCTATACAGTGAGTATACTAACAGGACCTAAGAGACAGGGTTGTTTGGAGGATCAGATAAGTTAATGCATGTAACATGTTTAAAAGTCTGGCACCGCAAAAGCGTCCTATCAGGTTTGATACCTTTCTGCAAAATAAGGTCAGTCTCGCCTCTGGCTCTTAACCGAAGATAACACGGAGAACTGAGGAGAATAAGTTAGGCAAAATACCCAAGTCTTCCAGGATTTACCAGTTGCGCAATCCTCAACCGACTAAGAAAGTCCTCTACGGCGCCCCGTCCGCCGGCCCCCGATTGACCCTACCGGCGTCCCGTTTCCCCTCTCTCACCTTCTCATAGAGGTTTTCGTCCTCGGGTTCTGGGTCCTCCTGCCAGTGCACTGTCGGTTCCGGCGCCCGCTTTCCCACCGCAGCGGACGGAGCGATGACAGCCCTAGCAGAGCTGGATTCCCAGCGAACCGGGGCAGCCACGCGCCCCCGCGTCGTCGCTGCTGCCAAAAGGCGGCGAGCGTACAAACCTAACAGTCCGGGCGCCATGACAGACGGTTGGGCAGACTCTCAGGGGCGGAGACGGAAATGGGACTCTGCGCAGCCGCAGTGGACCCGGGCGCGCTGATTGTCGCTCCGCCCCCTTCGCACGAAATAGGTCCCAGTCCATCTAGCTAGTGTTTTCACGTGACTAAAGGCACTGAGTGGCCCCCTCTCCTCCCTGTCGCACAGCCTCATTAGAGCAACCATTTCCTGATTGCCTCGGTTGAGCTATGGGAGTTCTGCCCGAGCAGCCTGTCAGGTCTGCTCCTTTCCCTGGTGAGAAGAAAGCGATGACATTTGGGGTGGGTGGGTGCAATTCCCAGCCAATCGCACCGGGTTTCCCTTGCCCTCCGTGCAAGAGGCTGAGCTTCCGCTTGGCTTTCATCTTTGAAGGAAGCTAAGCGTCTAAAAAGCGGGCCTCGCCCGATTGGCCAATAAGTACTCCTCTTCTCCACTAGCAGGCGTTTGCACGGGGCTGGGGGCCGGGGAGGTGGCAGTCGCTTGCCAATGAGAGCAGCCCGGGGCTGGCCGATGGCGGAGGGCGACCAATAGACGCAGCCAGCCAGAGCGCGCTCCCTCAGTAGGTGGATGGTGGTCGGAGCGCCGGCTCCTTGCTCCTGGTCGCCATTTTGTGCTGGTGGTTGCGGGTAGCGGGGAGTAGGCGGCGGCGGCGGGGCTCCCGGGGAGGGCAGCGCGCTCGGCGCTTCGCCCCTTCCTCCCTCCGCCTTGCTGCCTCCAGCTTTGAACTTGGTGGTTACGCGAAGCGGCTCCTGCTGAGCTGGGCGAGTTGGTGGAGGAGGCTGAGGGCCGAGGTGATGTCAGGGAGCCCTCCCTTGACAGCCCGAGCCGAGGTGAGCATCGACCTCCGCGGGTCGTGGGGGCGGCGGGAAGGGGCCGGAGGCCGGGGGGTGCGCGGACAAGGTGAGCGCGCGGACTGCGGGCCGCGGCCCGAGGAACGCGTGCGCGGTCTGAGCCTTGGAGGGGTTGTCTTTAATTTTTACTCCTTTTGAGAAACAGGGGCTCGTGCGCGATCGGGGCGCAGGATGGGTGCACGCGGGTTGGGGGAAGGGAGAGACGGATGGGAGTGGGCTGCTGTGGTATCTGCGACACGGAACTTTCTCCGTGGGGAGGGAGGTGTCTGCGACTTTGTTTCTTATCTACAGGCGTGGGGATGTGTTGCCTGTTCTGTGTGACTTTGGTACTTAATCTGTGCGTGGGAAAGTGTTCTTTGCCTCGGGTCCTTAGGAGTTGGAGGACGAGGAGGGAGAACGGAGAACATCTCTATGACCCTGGTCTTTATCCTTGGAGTGTGTGTCTAACTCTGGTCCCTCCCTGTTCCTGGGAGAGGTCTTTATCCATAAGGAGTCTTCTGGCGACTGGCCCTAACCTGCCTCCTGGGCAGGGAGGGAATGCAAGGAAAGGGTGTGTGATTTATTGCCCCTTCTTGAAGGGCTGTCTTTCTGTGACTGTGATGTTCATCCATTGAAACGGGGTGCTTATGGCCCGTATTTATTGTGGGTTCCTGTCTGTGATTTTGGCCCGTAGTTATTTGGGGCGCGTGTCTGACTGGCCCCCATCTGTTGTGGATTCCGGTGTGTGACTCTGGCCCCTTTGCCAGAGTCTAATGAGGGTTTTGTATGGACACTTATCCACTGGGGCCCCTGGTTGTGATTCTAACTCTTACCCATCTAGGAGGAGGTAACTCTGGTTCCCTGTGGCCTGAGGAGGAAGAGAAAATTGATGTGTGTGTGTGTGTGTGTGTGTGTGTGTGTGTGTGTGTATTCATGGAGGAAAGGTGTGGTGGCAACCTAGTGCTGAGTAGGTGCTGTTACTGCCTGGCTTTGCCTAATTGCTGCCCAGAGGGCAGGCCTGAAGATTCTGGGATACTGCCTGGTGACCCCTGGCCAGGTCACGTGGCTCTCAGGACTTCCTTGGATCTCAAGCCCTGAGGGTTGGGTGAAATGACCGCCCTTCTGTGTAGAATAGCACTGTGCTTGGGAACAGCCCCGGAAAAGGCTCCTTTTGCCCGAAAGGGCTCCTTTTGCCTCTGAATAACTTGGGCTCAGAACCCTAGGGAGAGCTGCCTTGGGACCTGGCTGCACATAAGAGACAGCACTCAGGGCTGAGCCAGTTGCCCTGTGAGGGCCAAAGCTGTGTTGGCCAGGAGCCCAGGGAGGCAGCAGCTGTCTCATTGCCAAGTTAGCCCCTTCACCCCCGAAGCCTTTCCTGGTCTACTACTGTCTTGTAAGGGGCAGCCAGCATCTTGTTGGGAGGATGAAGTGGCACCCGGGGACCCGTGGCAGGAGCCTGGTGGGCGCCTGGGACTGCTCCTGTGCAGTCTCGCCTCATGTGCCTGATCTCTAACAAGTCATTCAGCACCCACAGCTCCCGTAGGCAGGTAGCTCCGGCCTTGAAGGTGTCTACCAGTTTCAGATGTCAAAGCTCCGATCACAGAATGGGTGATGCCACCAGGTCTCTCTCTCTGCAGGATGCTCCGTGTCTGCTGAAGGCCTTGCTCGTTCTAGGGCAGTGAGCTCTAGCCTCACGTTTGTGGGGAAAGGAAAGGAGCAGACCAGCGTGCCTGGACCAAGAGACAGCAGAGAGCCTTGACAACAAGGGTTTCTCAAGGAGGCCCTCTCTGCCCCAACTGCTTTGACCCCTTTCTTCCTGCCTCTCTCCCCAGAGTCCCTGCAGGAGGCACCACCCAGGCTGGCAGATCATGGTGGCAGCAGCGGGGGTGGCTGGGAAGTGAAACGGAGCCAGCGGCTGAAGAGGGGCCCTAGCAGCCCCCGAAGGTCCTATCAGGACATGGAGTATGAAAGACGGTGAGTTACCTGCTTCCGCCTTGACCAAACAGCCTAGGCTCATCCCCGTGTGAAGAACTGATCCAGGAAGGTACTAGGAGGAGGCTCTCAGGCTGAGGAGACAGTGTGAGCCAGGACCAGTGTGCTAGGCTCTGGGAGTGCCCTGGTGAATGAGACAGGAAAGATTGCAGCCTTCTCTCTCTTACTCGGGGTCTCACAGCAGAGCCCACAGAGTTTACAGGTGATTCCGAAGCAGTTGGATGGGTGCCACGGTTGTGAGGGTAGGAAGGGATCAAGAGAAAGGTGTTTCTAGTTTCGGGGGGACCCAGATAGGTATATGGTGCCATTCGCCAAGGTCTGAACAGCCACTGTGGGAGGAGAGGCAGAGATGGGTAGTGGGTTGTAAGTGCCTGTGGATTCTCGGCAGAGGTGTGAGCTGTAGCTTTGGGTTGAAGGGATGGATGAGAGTGGTGCTTTCAGAGTCAGGAATTTGCCAGGACAAGTATGGGGCAAGCCAGGTCAGATGGTGGGAGATTTCAGGGGCAGAGTGGGCTGAAGTTGGCATGATACTTGCCTTGGAATGGGGCACTCATGTAGTTATTTTTAAACTCTGGTAGAGCAAGAAACAGTTGGGACACTTGATAAAATACAGACTTCCCAGGCCATTCCCTCACCATCCTGCTGTATCACCCCAGTTTATTCTAATGAAGGTGATCTATTCTTTACATATTAGGATTACGTAGGAAAGCAGACCTCTATTAAGAGTCAGTAGATTTATAAAAAATCAGGAAAAAATAATTTTTAATGTCCTGCAAAGGGCTTCTTCTACCAACAGGCCCCTTTAAAAATGTAGAATTAGCCCTGGCCAGTTTGGCTCAGTGGATAGAACGTTGGCCTGTGGGCTGAAGGGTTCTGGGTTTGATTCTGGTCAAGGGCATGTACCTTGGTTGCAAGCTCAATCCCTGGCCTTGGTTGAGGTGCGTGTGGGAGGCAGCCAATCGATGTGTCTCTTCCCCTCCCTTCCACTCTCTCTAAAAATCAATGGAAAAATATCTTCGGGTGAGGATTAACGAACAAAAAAAGTAGAATTATAATATTTTGTTTTCTGAAAAGTGAAGCCCAAATTGAGATGTGTTATTCAGCCTTGACCTTCTTTAAAAATGTCTTTTGAAAGGCATTTGATTTTGGATGGGATTCGCTGGAAGTGCTCTGTGCCGTTTCTGAGTGGAAGTAGGTGACATAACTTGCCTGCTTCAGACTTTATTAACCAAATAAAGCCACTGGCTTTCTTTTTTGGGCTTTTAAAGGACCTCAAGTGCAGAGGTTTGAGTTATTCATGCTTGTCTAGTTCACAGTAAGTTTCTATCGTAGATCAGTACAAAGGCCTTCTCTTGCCTTATCTTTCCCTTTTTAGTCCCAATTCCCGTAGCTGTAGGCAGCTTCTCTGTCATGTTTAAAATGTATTCTTTGAAAATATCTAGTGTTGTTTAGAGTTGTCTGTGTTTTCACTTTCCACAAATGACACAGTGTTATAGTCTTCATTTTCCCCCCTGAACTTTGTATACCTCCGCACTGCATTTTTTTAAAAGATCTGTCTGTATTGCCATGTGTATATTAGTGTTTTGCTTCTAATTGGTCCCAAAGACACCGTAGGATATGCCTCCTGCATTTTGCTTAATGATTCCCCCAAGGATGGATACCTGCTCTTAATTTGAGGGTGCTAAAATTCATCATCACTTTTTTGTCTTACAATCTGTGCCTTCAGAATCTTCTGTGTTCCTACCTCTGGATTGCAACTATTGTTTTCACTGTATAGTTTTACCTTTCTCATTCAGGTCTTTAAATTCAGTTTTGAATATGGTATAAGGTAGATTCTGGTTTTATTTTCCTTCATATAGTGGGCAGTTTCCCTAGTACCATCTCCTAAATAGTAGTACCTCATCTCATTTCAAGTTACCTCATGTACATGGGTCTGTCCTGAGCGATCTAATTTGTTTCATTGATTTACTTGTTTTTTCTTGTGCTAGAACCTTACTGTCTTTATTATTATGGCTTTATAGACTGTCTTTTTAAAATATATATATTTTATTGATTTTTTACAAAGAGGAAGGGAGAGGGATAGAGAGTTAGAAACATCCATGAGAGAGAAACATGGATCAGCTGCCTCCTGCACACCCCCCACTGGGGACATGCCCGCAACCAAGGCACATGCCCTTGACCGGAATCGAACCTGGGACCCCTCAGTCCACAGGCCGATGCTCTATCCACTGAGCCAGACTGGTCAGGGCTAGAATGTCTTAATAGCTCCCACTTTTCTCTTATTTTTAAAAGTTGATTTAGCCAAGTCCCTCAAAAACATTCAAGAATTTTTACTGAGGTTGCATTGAATTGATATATTAATTCAGGGAGTATTGTCAGTTTTGTTGCCTTTCTCTTCTCCTCTTCTCCCCCTTCCTTCCTGCTTCCTCTTCCCTCTCACCCCCTCCTCCCATATAACATTCCCCCCCACCACCAATCATTTGAGTTAGTGGCAGAGATGACCCTTACTATAGCATGTATGTCGTAAGAACAAGGACTTTTTTCTTCCATAACCACAGTACACTTGTCAATATCAGGAAATTTAATGTTGATGCAATACTTTATCTTATATAAAGTCCATATTCAGAAGTTATGGACTTTATGTTGTCCCAATAATGTCCTTTTTTTTAAAAAAAAAATATTTTATTGATTTTTCACAGAGAGGAAGGGAGAGAGATAGAGAGTCAGAAACATCGATGAGAGAGAAACATCGATCAGCTGCCTCCTGCACATCTCCCACTGGGGATGTGCCCGCAACCCAAGTACATGCCCTCGACCGGAATCGAACCCGGGACCCCTCAGTCTGCAGGCCGACGCTCTATCCACTGAGCCAAACCGGTTTCGGCCCAATAATGTCCTTTATAGCTGTTTCTCCCTAGTCCAGGATCCAGTTCAAGATCATACACATTGCATTGAATTTTTAGTCTCCTTTAATCTGGAAGAGTTATTCAGTCTTTCTTTGCCTTTTATGACCTTGATATGTTTCAAAAGTACAGGTCAGTAAAGTACAACATCAGGAAATCTATATAATAAAGAGGTAATATACAAATTGACCATCACGCCCTCGCACAAGATGGCTGCCCCCATGTGGTCAAAGATGGCCGGCAGGAGAGGGCAGTTGGGGAGGACTGAGCCAACAGGGGTGGGCAGTTGAGGGCGACCAGGTCTGCAGAGAAGGGCAGTTAGCAGCGACCAGGCTGGGAGGGGAGGGCAGTTATGGGCGACCAGGCCAGCAGGGCAGGGTAGTTAGGGGCGACCAGGCCTGCAGGGGAGGGCCGTTGGGGGCACCAGGCCGGCAGGGGAGGGCAGTTGGTGGCAATCGGGCTGGCAGGGGAGCAGTTAGGCATCGATTAGGCTGGCAGGGGAGTGGTTAGGCAGTGATCAGGCAGGCAGGCAGGTGAGCGGTTGGGAGCCAGCAGTCCTGGATTGTGAGAGGGATGTCCGACTGCTGGTTTAGGCCCGATCCCACAGGGCAGTTGGACATCCCTAGAGGGGTCCCAGATTGGAGAGGGTGCAGGCTGGGCTGAGGGACACCCCCCCCCCAGTGCACAAATTTCATGCACCGGGCCTCTAGTATAGTCAATAATATTGTGATAACTATGTAGTGGATATGGTACCAGGTAGGTACTGGAAATATCCAGGGGGAACACTTTGCAAAGTACAGTGGAACCTCGGTTCTCGAACTTAATTCCTTCCAGAAGGCTATTTGAGAAGCGATTTGTTCGAAAACCAAATAATTTTTCCTATTAGAAATAATGTAAATTGAATTAATCTGTTCCATACTCCCAAATGATTCCCTGTTTTAACCTTTCTTATATACAGTACATGTCTAATGTACTGTTTAATCTATAAACAAACACTTCTTTTCTTAAATTTATCAAACCACCCTACTAGCCTTACTTACCTCACTTTCAGCACTCGGTCCAGGGGTGTCTTTCAAGTCAGCATGCAGCATCTTTGCTTGCTCATATATCACTGCCTCCGTAATGCTAACTGCTTTTTATTTCTCCAAATCAACAACAGTTTTTCTACCTCTTCAGTTGTCTGTGATCATTGTTTCTTTCACACCTTTAGCAACATTACCAATCTTTAAAAAAAATTTATCTTTATTGCTACAAGTATTACAGATGTCCTCTTTGTTTGTGGGTTTTTTTCCCCATTGACCCCCTCCACCTCATACCCACCCCTCCCAGGCCTTCACCTCTCTACTGTCTGTATCCATGGGTTTTGATCAGATGGAATCAATGGACATTTTCGGAACATTTCACCCCAAAGCTACAGAATATACATTCTTCTCAAGTGCACATGGGACATTTTCATAGACCACATTTTAGAACACAAACTAGGTCTCTACAAGTTCAAGAAGATTGAAATATCAAGCATCTTCTCAGATCACAATGGCATGAAATTAGAAATCAATTAGAGTAAAAACACTCAAAAACATTCAAACATATGGAGGCTAAATAACACGTTATTAATTAATGAATGGGTTACCAAAGAGATCAAAGAAGAAATAAAAAAAAAAACATCCTGGAAACAAATGACAATGAACACACACAACAACCCAAAATTTATGGGACACAATGAAAGCAGTCCTGAGAGGCAGTTCACAGCATCACAGCCCTACCTCAAAAAAAAACAAAAAAAACAAAAAAACTTTTAATAAATTATCTAACCCTACAACTTAAAGAATTAGAAAAGAAATCGAGAAAAGCCCAGAGTAAGCAGAAGGAAGGGAATAATAAAGATCAGAGTGGAAATAAGTGACATAGAGACTGAAAAAAAAAAGATCAATAAAACCAAGAGCTGGTTCTTCAAAAAGATAAACAAGATTGATGAACCTGTAGCCAGACTCATCAAGAAACAGAGAGAGAAGACCCAAATAAACAAAACCAGAAAAGAGAGAAGTGAAATAACATTACCACTCTTGGTGGCCTCTTTAC